TTGAGAAAACTATAAAACTGCCGTCTTCCCCCCAAAAAAAAAGAAAAAAAGAAAAAAAAAAAGAACGACGCCCAGTAATTATCGATGTACTTCGGGGGGACAACTTTCAGTCCAGATGCAGCGATAATGACTGGACGTTCTATTCAGGTGAAGACGGTAGCGTAGTACCCCTTGAGGTGCACGCAACCATATAACAGTCCGCCACAATGTCTGCAATTCCAGTCTCACATCTTTTCAAGTTACATAAAATAGTATCGGCATCTATAACATGTCCTTCCTTTCAAACACCCTCCCTTCCTTTCTAACCATGGTTTCTGCTTCAATTGCCTTGCCCATCTTTTTTCCCAGTCACATGAGGAATGTTTTTCTCTCCCTCTCTCCCTCCCCTTCCCCCTTTTAGGAAATGCTCTCTCTCTCTCTCTCTCTCTCTCTCTCTCTCTCTCTCTCTCCTGTCTCTTATACACATCTAGATGTGTATAAGAGACAGCAACATACCCTGTGCGTTCTATTCGTAAATAATGCATGTGCGTTTTGTTCGGGGGAAGACTAAGGTGCAGGGTGCACCGTTGGGTGCCTGGCTAACACAATGACAAAGCATTTGCCAGTAGCTGAGCCTCCCTTTTCATTTTCCCCCACCCGCAGACCTACCTACCACTACTCCTAAGGCTATACAGGGACCCCTGCAAGCATAGCTATCTACCTCTCTTGCCGAAGGGAGGCTACCTCTGTCAGTGGAGGGAGGTGATTCCACGTTTGCCCCTTGGCCTAGTGGTTTAGGGTGCCGGGTTGGGGCGCCGCCGATGCCGGCCCGGCTAACACAAGGACAAAGCATTTGCCAGTGGCTGTGCCTCCCTTTTCATCTCCCCCACCCCATCAAGTAATAGCATTTTCTAAGGCCAACAATTCTCCCACACACCACACGGAACCTACTCACAGTCGCACTCACACCTGTGTTGGCTGGAGACCCTACTAATACCAACGGGGGGGACACAGCTGACTATCTCAGTTGGTCGGCATCAAGCTTACCGCAGGCGGCCATGGGAATTGAACCCACGACCTCCTGAATGCCACTTGGGTGCCTAACCAATTGAGCTATTTGATCCATGGTCCACCGGACGACGCCATTTAAAAAAAGGGAAAAAAAAAAATCTTGTGTGTATCGTTCAAGTTCCAATTTTAACAGATGTATGTCCCCAAGGGTGCTTCTGTTCTTTTTTGGTATTGTGCATTGTGTGGCGAGGCCCTGACACCTTTTTTGTTTGTGATTCGTCCGTGTATTGGCCGGCTCTTCACGCAGGCCAACGAGAGATGTCATTCAGTGTCGATCCATACTCAGGGCAGATGCGTGTACCATTCACCCAAAGGGCTCGTGAGCTGCAGTTTGAATACTCTTGTTTGCAAGTCTGCAGTCTTTTTTTTTTTTGAAAAGCACCACTACCTTTTCCCATGTCGGCCTCGGGTGCGGCTCCGGCCGCTTAAGAGACCGAGCCAAAACGACGGCCGTCGATTAGATTTTTTATCAACCGCATCCGTCGTCAGGCTGGGCCCCCAGTTTTTCAGTAGGTTATTTTCCCATTTTCAGCGGGAAAGGTAAGTGGTGGTTTAAAGCACCAGTACATGGGCACCTGGGCTGCGGGCCTGACACCTTGAATTCTGGAGGCGTGAAACGAAAACGCGACCGCCGATCCAATTTATCAACGGCAGGCCCGGCGTTTGATGGTTCGGCCTCGTCTTCATGTAGTGACAAGTTTCAGACTGCAAGGCTGGGGCCGTGCACTACCGTCTTCACCCGAAAATAATGCCCGCGCGTTATATTCAACTTACCCAACGAAGATGAGATTTTCGTTTTTACTCACTTTTTTTCAAATAGAACGCCCCTTCGAATAGAACGCCTGGGCGTTATATTGGAATGTTCCATGGGCAGAGTGCCTTGATACATGGGTTTTGAAGAGGGTTGAATGGGGTTTCCGAGGGGTATATTTTATTATTTATTTTGGCTTTAGTTTTCGTTTTTATTCTTTTATTTCCAAGTTTATAAGGAATTCTGAAGTGACCGTCAGACAAAAGCTGGTCGCATCCCAATCCTGGACAACATTTTTTTTTTTTACAGAATTTTTTTATTTTCTTTTTTTGGAATTTTGGGGCATCACTGAAGTTACCCCAAATTTACTAAATACAACGCCCAGCGGGCGTTATATTCGCACACAACGCCCAGGCGTTATTTTCGGGTGAAGACGGTAGTGGTTTAAAGCCCAGGTTGTCGTAGAGGTGGGATACTACACTGATCTGCAAACTTTTTTTTTTTTTTTTTTTTTTGAAGAGACTGATCTGCAAACTTACGGATGGTAAGAGCATCTCCAACAGTGAGAGCCGCAAGAGTGGTGGCTCCATCCGATAGGTGGGACCCGCAGTTTTGACCCACGAGAAACCCACGCGCACACCATTCTCGATACCGGCAGTTGAGCATGCTACCGCTCCACACAAGGCTATAGTTCCGATAGGTGGGACCCACAGTTTGGACCCACGAGAAATCCATGCGCACCGCCCTTCCATTGGTGCACATCACCTCGTAGTTCTTTTGCCATTTGTTGGAAGATTTGCTTCTTTTTTTTTTTTTTTTTTTTGG